GGAATCTCCTTTCCTGTAGTTTGAAGCCATGGCTCCATTGCGTCCTAGTCTCCAGGGAAGCAGAAAGGAAGCCTGCTCCCTCCTCCCTGTGGCTTCCCCCCATATATTTATACATGGCTATCATGTCTCCTTTCAGTCTTCTCTCCTTGTATTATTTTGATGTATTTGCATTCCTTTGAGGCATTGAATGTTTGCCTTTTGTTTTGTGTCTGCAAACCACCAAGGTCTTAAGGCACTGCACCCAGTGCGCCGGTCACCACTGGGCCCCCCCTGACTGGCTTGTGCCAAAGTCTTTGCTGTTCAATCTTTGAATCGTCATATCGTGTCAGATTTTCCAATTGTTATTATATTATATTACAATATTATAATAATACAGTTATTATTATTATTATTATTATTATTATTATTATTAATATGGTCCATAGTCACCTACGGACCCACCCTGGAGGATTATCCTACTCGGACAACGAGGGATCGCCTAAGTAGGTAAGTAATAATATGAGCTGCAGGGAATTCTTGCAGTGTGTAACTGCATTGCAAAATTTGCATGTGGTTGCTTTGTGCAAGAAACACCATTTTGTTCACAGGATGCATTGTTTTCTAAGACCTCTACACAATAAGAGAAATCACTGAAATTACACATTGCTTCCTTCAAAAGCTGAGTAAGGAAGGAGATCCCTACTCAAGGCACAACTTCTGGGAACAATCTGTTTGAATCCTCCAACAATAAAGTTCCAGCGCCTAAAATAAACAACTTTCTGGCTGGAAGGTTTCTGAGAAGCAAGAAAATGACCCAACAGCAGGCCATGGTATTTAAAAAGAGGGCAAAGAGCCCTAATAAGCGAGGAGTGGCAAATGCATGGTCTCCTCCTGAACTACACTCCCAGGTCTATGTCAGGAATATCCACAAAGGGCAGCAGCAGGAATTAAAGGAGGGGCACGGCTGCATGCCTGCCTTCCCCTAAAACACACACACAAGGGAGATCCAGTCCCTTCCCCCAGACCGGCCATTAGCAGGAGGCCCCCTGACCACCCCCCTGTTCCTGCCCCTCGTACCTTGCGGGGTGCCAAACATGATGTTGACGGTGCAGGAGTGGTGGACCTGGTGCTGGGGGGTGATGACGATGGCAAAGGCCGACCCGCCCTGGCTGATGTCGTCGAGGGCTTGCTGCAGAGACATCTCCGAGTTGAGGAAGATGAGGTCCACCAACATGCCCAGGTCGCGGATCTTCCGCCCCACAGACTCCGCGTAGTCCCTGCACAAAAGGAAGGAAGAAACAACGACCCACAACCGGTGAGGAGGCGAGAGTCCCAAAAGCCCTCTTGGCAAAGGACAGGCTGCTGCTGCTTGGGGCCAGGGCTGCACCCAGCACCACCTCTTGGCCACGTCTTATTTATTTATTTATTTATTTGATGCATTTATTAACCGCCATTCTCAGCCCTCTCGGGCGACTCATGGCGGTGTACAGCATAAAAGACAGTTACAACAGCATATTAGCAATACAGCAATACAACAATTAAAAGTTACACTAACTAATCCGCTTCGTCTCATAATAGAATCGTAACCAATCTCGTATTCCTTGTTCCATTCCAGTCATCTTTACCACATTATTATAGCACTTAATTAAATGCCCTCTCGAACAGCCATGTCTTAAGGCTTTTTCGGAAGGACAAAAGGGAGGGCGCCTGCCTGATGTCTGTAGGGAGAGTGTTCCACAGCCGGGGGGCCACCACTGAGAAGGCCCTCTCTCTCGTCCCCGCCAGGCGTGCCTGTGAGGCAGGCGGGATCGAGAGAAGGGCCTCCCCAGACGATCTCAAGGTCCTCGTGGGCTCATAGGCCAAGATGCGGTCTGAAAGGTATTTTGGGCCGGAGCCGTTTAGGGCTTTGTAGGCCAACACCAGCACCTTAAATTGGGCCCGGTAGCAAATCGGCAGCCAGTGGAGCTGGGACAACAAGGGTGTTGTGTGCTCCCTGTATCCCGCTCCAGTTAGTAACATGGCTGCCGCGCGCTGAACCAGCTGAAGCTTCCGGGCCGTCTTCAAGGGCAGCCCCACGTAGAGAGCGTTGCAGTAGTCAAGCCGGGATGTGACCAGAGCGTGTACCACCGTGGCCAAGTCAGACTTCCCGAGATACGGGCGCAGCTGGCGCACGAGCCGGAGCTGTGCAAATGCTCCCCTGGTCACCGCTGAAACCTGGGGATCCAGGCTCAACGATGAATCCAGGGTCACACCCAAGCTGCGAACCTGCGCCTTCAAGGGGAGTGCGACCCCATCCAGCACAGGCTGTAACCCTATATCCCGTTCGGCCTTGCGACTGACCAGGAGTACCTCTGTCTTGTCTGGATTTAGTTTCAGTTTGTTCGCCCTCATCCAGACCGTTACAGCGGCCAGACACGTTCAGGACCTCGACAGCCTCCTTAGTAGAAGGTGGAAAGGAGTGACAGAGTTGGACATCATCTGCGTACAGATGACACCGCACCCCGAAACTCCGGATGATCTTACCCAGCGGCTTCATGTAGATATTAAACAGCATGGGGGACAGTATGGAACCCTGTGGAACCCCACAAGTCAAAGGTTGTGGCGTAGAACAGGAGTCCCCCAATAACACCTTCTGGGTGCGGCCCTCCAGGAATGGAGTCTTTCGCTGGCGGAAATGAAACAGCGGGCCAAGGACAGCACTGAGGAAGTATGTCCGCTTTCCAAAACTGCAGGGTCTAATAATTGTCAGAAATATTCTAAATTAACTAGGTATTTTTAATTACAAAAATGTGAATCAAGCACTGAAAGGGTTAAATTGATGCAATAGCACCAGTGGGGAAGCCATTTGCATGCAAGCCACCTGATTGGTCGTATGCAAATGAGCAGGTGCCAAGATTTGAAAGGAGGGCAGAGGCAAGGATGCCAGTTGTTGAAGCCCAACTGAACATTCTATGGCAGTCAATGGGTCAGCTGGAAGTAGCCTGTGAGTGTTGGTCAGTGAGTTAGGGTCTGGAGAGAAGTAGCTGAAAAGCAGCTGGAAGACTGGTCAAAGGAATAGGTTAACCATAGTGTGAAGTTTGTTTTTATGTACTCGCATAGCAGTCCTTTTGGAGGAAAAGAATAGATTGAGTGAAACTCGTATTGAAACGTTGTTCTGTGTTTGATCCTTTGTAACCACTACGCTTATGACACAAGAATGCTACAAATAAAGTGAGTTACTGTTTCTGTTTTAAACAAAAGCCTCTCTCTCTCTCTCTCTCTCAATTTCTCGGTTAGAGATCTCTTTGTGCTTTCCTTTCAAATGGTGGCAAGCGGTGGGATGATAAAAGATATTTATTATTTACAGTATTTATATACCACTTTTCTCACCCCTAGGGCGACTCAAAGCAGTTTACACATAGATGGCGGCAAAAAATCGATGCCTTATAATTACAATTGTAAAACCACACATAAATCATATTAAAAACAGGACATCCCCAAATATCAAAACAGTCACTAAAACTATAAAACAATCTCATCAGTCGAGTCGCCGTTCCAGTCCTTGTCCCACTAAAAGCTGCATACATCTAATGTCCAAAGGCCTGGTCCCAGAACCATGATTTTAATTTTTTCTCTAAAGGTCAGGAGCGAGGGAGCAGGTCTTACCTCCTTTGGAAGTGTGTTCCATAGGAGGGGGGCCACAGCTGAGAAGGCCCTGCTCCTCATCCCCGCCAGCCGCATTTGTGGTGTTGACAGGAGCAAGAGCAGGGCCTCCCCGGATGATCTTAAATTGCGAGGTGGGACGTAGGGGCAGATGCATTCAGACAAGTAAGCTGGGCCTGAACCGTATAGAGTTTTATAGGTCAAAACCAGCACTTTGAATTGGGCTCAGAGATGAACCGGCAGCCAGTGGAGCTGGCATAGATTGAGGTCCAACCTGTCACATGAAAAGACAGAGTGCGTTTCAGCCTCAGTGTGAGGTAGGCCTTAAGTCTGTTAGCGAAGGCCTCAGTGTGAGGTAGGCCTAAGTCTGTGAGAAGCTTATGTGAGAGAAGCCCCAGGCTGAAGGCCTTGTGTGTGAAGTCACTGTGTGATGCTCCTTTGTAACTTCAGTGTGAGAAGAGGCTCCGTGAGAGCGAAGCTGTTTCTCTTGTTTATTTACCCCATCACATCCCCCCACTAAAAGATTAATTAAAGAAAAAGCCCAGCATGGAAGCAAAGAAGGAAGTATACAGAACTCTGTTTGTGTTATGGAATCCTTGTTCTTGTAAATAGTGCAACCATATTATTTTGCTATAAAGAAAAGCCTCCTAAGGAAGACAGAATATTGGTCTGTGTGTTTTTGTTCTTTTTGTCGCTTTGGGCGACTGGTGCTGGGTCACGCTGCTGCTGATAAGCTACTCTGCTCTGCATTTATGAGGAGGATCTTTTGTTAATAAGCCCACTTGCCCAACAATAATTATGTGTTAGTTCAAAGTGTTACTTGGCGGCAGCTGAGATGATTTTCCTACAGCAAGCAATGAAAATTAGTATGTGACTAACAGGCAGTGAATGGAAGCAAGAGGATTTATAACTCTGTCATTCCGCCATTGATGCTCCTCCCTCCTGTTGGGGCGCATTGTTGTGTCCGTCTATTCTCAAATGGCCCCAAAACCTCCAGGTTTCCCTCCTGCGCCTTCTTGTTGTTAGGCATTTGCCTTTTGAAGTACCCTTTGTCTGAACCCTCTGCTTTGGCTGCTAATTCTCCGCTATCCCCTTACCCCTAGTCCGTTCACTCCTGTCTTCAGCACCCAGCCTCACTTTGCCTGGGAAAGCGCCATCCAGACCAAGTGGAAGGAAGGAAATTAGCCCCCATCCCATCAGCAACAAAACATCAAGCTCTTACTTGGTTTGTTTGTTGACCACGATCACTGAGCAGTCCACCGGCCGCTCCGCATCAATGCGCCTCTTGATGTCCTCAAAGAACTGGCGGTAGAGCTCCTCCCTCCGCCGCTCTTCACGCTTCATGCGCTCTGGGGAGAAGAGGAGCCAAGGTCAGGGAGACATGCTGCCCCCTCCCCAAATGCCCCCAGCCACCTCCACTGCTCCCAGATGACCGACCTTCGGTGCTCAAGGGGGCCCTCTCATGTTCGCGGTAACGGCTGTAGTAGGGATCCTCCTTCCGCCGGTAGCTGCCATCCTCGGGGCGCGGATAGCGGTCATAGCCTTCCTCCCTCCTGCAAAGCAGAGTGACAGGCCTGTGTCTGCACCTGGCACTTCTCCCACACACCTGCACAGGCCCCCAGAAGGCTCTGCCCCTGCCACGTACCTGTAGGGTTCGCGGTTGTCCTTGTAGCGGTCATAGACTGGTTCCCGGGGATCCCTCATGTCCCTGGGGTCTCGGAACTCCCTGGAATCACGGGGGTCTCTGGACCCGCGAGTGTCTCGCATACGAAGGTCCCGCCCGTCCCGGGAATCGCGGCCATCTCGCCCATCCCTCCGTGGGCTGCCCCGAATGGGAGAGCGGTCACGGCGGCCATCCTTCTCTCCATAGGGCAAGGGCTCCCTGGAAGAAGGACCGGGCAAAAGCCTTTAGGTGGGAGGTGACAATTGGAGAAGGGGCTGTGCCACTGCTGGCTTGGGACCTCCAAACACTCAGAAAGGAGAGGGTTGGTGCATGTACGGAATGATACCTTAAGTGTGTAAGTCTTGCTGCGGGTGGCTGATGGCCGACTGCATGGAAACAACATTCTGGGAAAAGGGCTAAGCTAGAACCTTTTTTCTCAAAAGCCTAACATCCCAGGTGCAGGGAAGCTTGCTGTCAGAAGCAATCGTTCATTTGAAGAGGCGCAACTCACCTTGATGGGAATGGGGACGCAGCCAGGTGCTTCAAAAAGCCAGCAATGGCCAGAACCCCTCACCCCCTTTTGACTCTATTTACTCTCCTGAGTGGGCTTGCCTTGAGAATGGGGCCCTAGAACATTAAAAGCTGCAGCTGGCTGGATGAAAGTGAAATGGCAAGGCCAGGCCAGAGCCCCAAAACAAGCAAGTGCTGCTGGTGGCCAGCTTGAAGCACAGGGCCTTGGGGTTTGAGTGGAAATCTCTCCTTCAGAAGAGGAGACTGCTATACTTGAAGCCTCTTCTGTCACCTGTAACACAGTGTGCCTTCCTGAGCAAACCTCCCAGAGGTCAGGCTGTGTCTCCACAAAAAGAAGGAGGACCCCATTTCCCAGGACACCGGGAACAGCCATGGGTGCAGAGACACAGATTGGGAGTCTCGGCCTGATCCTTGCCAATGTGGCAGACCCGAGGAACTTACAGCCGTGGATGAAGAGGTGTTGGCTTGGCAGACACTGGAAGTCTTCGCTGTTTTATGGGACACAGACACCGAGGGGAAGCACCCTGAACATATTATTGAGAACACGGGCAACAGTGGATGACGCTTTTATTTTCCGTTCGTTTCTAACACTCCCTCCCCCAGGCTTGGTTGCAGCTCTTGATTCCACAGAACGAATGGCTTCATAGACACGTGGTTTGGAGCGGATTTCACCAACCCTGCTGCGCTGCGCATGTGACAAGGGAACCCAAGAAAAGACACAAGAGGCGGAAAGAGCAGATTACCCGATGTGCAATCGGAGAAAGAATGGAGAGAATAAAAATTGCGCTCTCTCAGGATACAGCCGAGCAGGCTACCACGCAAAAGGCTGGGCAGGAAGTGTCCCTGTGTCCCCGCCACTTCTGATGTTCAGGTCCCAGGGCAAAGCAATGCCCAAGCTCTCGCATGCGCCTTGCCCACAGCACTCAGGGCAGACAGTGCCCTGATGCTCGCATGCGCTCTAGCCATTGGCATCAAAAGTGATGCACTGGCCTCTGCTTGCGCTTGGACTGCTGGGCGATGTGGCAGTCAGGTACGGACTTGTGCGCCATGAGCGCACTGACATGCAAAGAGAGGGTCCTGAACCCTCTTCCTCAGGAGACGTCTTCTGGGCCATGCAGTTGCAAAGGGAAGGCATTTTCCCTGAGAGATAGCTGCGGCCTCTGATCTTGGGCGCAAATGCCGTTGCTGTCCTCTCCTGGAGGAGGCTCGGCTCCAAGGCGAACCCCTGAGACGCCACAGAGAAAGGAAGACCGGCAAGCAGGCCAGCCTGGAAGAAGCCCGGTGGTCAACCATGGTGGCCACCTGCAGCCTGCAAGGAACTGGGAATCCCCTTCAGGATCCCGTTCTACGGGAGCGCCACCCACGGCGGCAGAGGAACGTGCCTTTCGGAGCTAAGCCCCACTTCGCTTCCGAGGGGAACCAACCGGCTGCTTCCCAGTACTTTACCTTCGAGACGGGCTGGACCGTGAGGGCGCTTTATTCATATTTCTTCTTTCCGTTGCTTTATTAATATCTGAAAAGAATAATCAACCCATCTGTTCAATGATATGAAACAAAGAAAAGACACAGTCAGCATATTGCAAAGAAAGCAACAATGATTAAAGTCCGCAGGATGGCAAAACGGACTCCACGCAATGAGACTTAAGTCAACCTTTATTGTTTCAGTGATGAAGGAGAAGAGGAGGAGGAGGACAGGGTAGCAGAAGCTGAGGAGTCCCTCCTTGGGAGCTCTGGGAAGGACTGACCCTAGTCAGGCACAGGCAGGAACCAATTGTTTATGGACCCCACAGCAAGCCTGCCCCAGGCCCTCTCCACATGAAGCAGGCTGGCTGGCCCCTTTGAGTCTCCAGAGCCACTTTCAGTAAGGGGTGGCTGCTGGGGGAAGAATCCCCAAAGGGAAGGGGTATAAATGTTGCATCACAAATTCAAGACCATTTCCAGCCAAGGCAATGGAAAACAGGACCCACTGGGAAACTGTTGCCCCATAAGGATGTGTGGGGTGAAGCCTCTCGCTCCCCATCCCTCAAAAGCCATCAACAAGTGTCCAACTACAGGATTGGAGCAACAAGGGGCATGTTCTTGCTATTTCTTGGGGGTCTGTGAAGGGATGTCTTCACAGACCACTCCATTTCGAATAAGGCCTTATGTCAAAAGTCTTGGTGGATAGGGACAGAATTCTGCTTCCACAACGACACAGCTCCCCTTTGAGGTCACTTTAAAATTGTCACCAAAAATGCCATAACTTAAACCATGCTGTCTGCACAAGCAGGGTGCATTATTTCATTTGCTCGGTCAAGAAAAATGGAGTGGGCCACCAAGCTCAGGGAGGGCACTGTCTGGATGCAAGTCTGCAAAGCACAGGCTTCTATCAGACAGCAAAGGGCGGCACCACGTAAATAGGAGCCCCAACGTAATCCCGCATTAGCCCTGCTCCTTGGGCTTGGCAGACACAACTAGAACTCTGTGCTGTTCCTCTTTATTTTTGAAGCAGGACAATAATTTTCTTATTTCCCCTGCAGCCACTTCCCTTCTTAAAAGCAAAGGGGAATAGAACAGGGAGCCTTACAACCCTCAACCAGTATGCTTGCCCATGCCTGAAAAATAACCATTTCTTCTTTGGACATCCAGTGTGGTATTATTTCCTATTCCTTTAACCTGTCTAGATACCACCTCATCTCTTGCAGTGAGTTTCTCCAGTGAAGCTCCATCACTCCTCCCCATCGGCTACACCTGACGGACCTGGCAGAAGGGGCACCTGGCGGCTTCTGGAGGATCTCATGCTGCCCTGACCTCTTTTACAAGGTGCATTCCATGTGCTGGAGTAGCATGTTCATCTGGGGAGTCAATATTTGATCCAATGTATTGCTATTCTGCCACAATACAATAGACATGTGATTTTCCAGTAGATTTGCTCTGGTCAAATGAAAACAATGGATAACTCTGGCCAATCGTTCAGGCACTTGCAAGTTGTCACAACGAGAAAAACAGCCAATATTTGGAGCGTATACATTTCAACAGGGGAAGTTCAAGCACTTCTGGAAAGGTCCAAATGAAATGGGTTTCCAATAACGTGCATTAGAAGGACACCTGAAGGGTGGACTTGACTCTGGCTTGACTCTGGTGGAGCTGGGGGTGGTGGCGGCTGACAAGGAGCTCTGGCGCGGGCTGGTCCATGAGGTCACGAAGAGTCAGAAGCAACTGAACGAATAAGCAATAACTGAAGGGTGGACATGTAATATCTCTAGGTATCTTTCTCTTGTGCAGAAAAGGTGGCCCTGACAATATAAGCTTTCCATCAGGCAGATGCAGAGGATGGGAGAAACCCAAAGCACCAAACCCTTTGCATTGTGCCCAGACGTCAGGCATTCATTCCCAGGATAGGACCTAGCCTATCGCAGAGTACTGCAGCTGGAGGGGGCCTCGGAGCCACTTTTCCCAGGCCCATTGTGTCTTGATTAAGGGATGAAAGCAGAATATTAATAACTATAATAATAACTGTTCCATATAAGAAATTGTGTGCTAAATATCCACAACAGCCGTCCCTTGAGTTTCTATTTGAAGTCTTTCCAGTAAGGAAGGGCCCTCGCTTTTCACTTCCAGGATGGGCAAGCTGATTAACACTAAATATACCCTCTGGCAACTTTATCTCACTCAATCCTCTCCTCACTCAAGGCAGCATACAGCAAAAAGATTGCTCCCCTCCTTTCCACAGCTCTTTAGGTAGAAGGACAGTCCTGTTGTGTTCTCCTCCACAGTCTTCCCATTGCCATCCTAAACATGCCTAGTTTCAATGCCTCTGGCCCACATCCTCCTGAGAAGAGTGGGGCCCATAACACTGAGGAATACTTTTTCTCCTTTTCTATCTTTCTCCTTTCTTCCTCTCCTTCCCTTTCCTTTTCTCTTTCTCTCCCTCCTGTTTTTTATATTTCTTCCTCTCCTTCCCTTCTCTCTCTCTCTCTTGTGCCTTTTCTCCTTTATTTCTTCTCTTTCTTCCTCTCCCTCCCTTTCTCTTTCTTGTGCCTCTCCCCCCCTTTCTTTCTCCTCTCCATCTTTCCCTTTCTTTTTTTCTTTTCTTCCTCTTTTTCTTGTTCTTTTGTGACCCTCTCTCCTTCCTTCTCCCTCCCTTACACCGCCTGTCCTACTCTCTCCCTTTTTTTTCTCTTTCCCCATCTTTCTCTCCCCCTTTCCTTTTCTCTCCTATCTTTCTTTCTCAATCTCAAAGGAAAGCAACACAATCTGGCCCCAAAAAACCCTGATGGTTTTGGCCTAAGATTTTCAAAAACCATTTTTGATTTGAAGTCACATCCGAGCAGCCTCCCTCCAAAGAGGAGACCTTCTCACCCACATTCCTGTTCAAGTCTTTGCAAATTCATCCCTTCCTTTAAGCATATACAGGCAGTCCCCGTGTTACAAACAAGACAGGTTCTCAGGTTTATTCTTAAGCTGAATACACATGTAAGCCGGAATAGGTATATTTCTTAAGTGTAACTCCAGCCACATATTATTCCATACTGTTTTTGTGATTAATAGCTACACTTTAATTATGTTCAATTCATAACAATGAAATTACATCCTGCACATCAGATATTTACATTATGATTCATATCAGTAGCAAAATTACAGTTATGAAGTAGCAACGACATACGTTTTATGGTTGGGGGTCACCACAACATCAAGAACTGTATTAAAGGGTTGTGGCATTAGGAAGGTTGAGAACCACTGCTGTCAACGTCTGAAGTAAACCGGACTGAGAAAGAGATCTGTTGCTTTTCCATTTGCAGCTCATCTTGGAAGTATGTATACGCTGTACTATTTTAATATTTGCTGTGACATGAAAGTTGTTCAAGATTCCTTTTATCTTCAAAGTAAGATGTTTTATGGTCAAGGGACCTGGAAATGCCTGTGCCAGAACCAGGATACAGTCCCGGGGTGCCCAGGTCTACTCAAGAAGGGATAAGCACACAGGGAGAGCTGCCAAAGATCATCTAGCTCCTTATCAGGAGCCCTCACTTTTCCTACCCATCTCTTCTCTTCCCAATAACTGATGAGGGCAATGTCCTGTTTCTGGGACCCATTACATCCTACTGTCAAAGTCACAGTTTGAACTAGGGATTTTACGTAATTGAGGCAATGGGCATGGCCAATGGCAATATCCAGCAATATCCAGCCAATGTGACAGATGCATCCAATGTACTGCTCCGCAGCACACTTTCCCACCACATTGGAGATCCTTCTTTCGCTCTGCCACATTGCCTTTAAATCAGTTAGCCATCCGCAGACTGAACACGTGTCCCTCCTTCGTGTCTTTCCCAATCTTCCATTTTTTTGCGTAACTGCTAGTGAAACCTTTCACATGGCATACATGGAATGAAATGTATTTGCTGACTTCAGGTGCTTTGCTTCCCGACACCTGTAACATCTTCACATATTTTTAAAGCAGTCTTCAAAGACCTTTGATTTCTCTGTATTCCTTTTCCGCTGTCTCAGCCAATTTCCTTCACCATGAGGCCCAACGTTTCTTTTTGCTCGTGAATTTCTGTTGGGATTAGGATGGGCCTTGGGGGCACGGTCCTGTCGTGGCTCCAGTCCTTCCTGGAGGGACGAACTCAGATGGTGAAGCTGGGAGACGCCTGCTCTGACCCCTGGCCTTTGACCTGTGGGGTCCCGCAAGGCTCCATTTTGTCGCCCATGCTTTTTAACATCTACATGAAACCGCTGGGAGAGGTCATCCGGAGTTTTGGAGTTGGGTGCCATCTCTACGCGGATGACGCACAACTCTACTACTCCTTTCCACCTAATTCCAAGGAGGCTTCTCAGGTGCTAGACGAGTGCCTGGCCGCTGTGTCGATCTGGATGAGGAGGAACAAGCTGAAGATCAATCCTGACAAGACAGAGGTCCTCCTGGTCGATCGTAAACCAGATCGGGGTATAGGGTGGTTACCTGTGTTGGACGGGGTTACACTCCCCCTAAAGCCACAGGTCCGCAGTTTGGGTGTCCTCTTGGATTCTTCTCTCACACTTGAGGCTCAGGTGTCGGCGGTATCCGGGAGGGCCTTTGCGCAACTGAGACTTGTGCGCCAACTGCGACCATACCTCGTGAAGGCTGATCTGGCCGGGGTGGTCCACGCCTTGGTCACCTCTAGAATGGATTACTGCAATGCGCTCTACGTGGGGCTGCCCTTGAAGACGGCTCGGAAACTGCAATTGGTCCAGCGGGCAGCAGCCAGGATGCTAACTGGAGCTCATTATCAAGAGAGGTCTACCCCTCTGTTTAAGGAGCTCCACTGGCTGCCATTTATTTTCCGAGCCCAATTCAAGGTGCAGGTGCTCACCTACAAAGCCCTAAACGGTTTGGGACCACCCTACCTGCGTGACCGCATCTCCATCTATGAACCCACAAGCTCGCTTCGATCATCTGGGGAGGCCCTGCTCGTGATCCCACCTACGTCGCAAGCGCGCTTGGTGGGGACACGGGACAGGGCCTTCTCCGTGGCGGCCCCCCGACTCTGGAAC